CATCCCAGGGTTGCCTTACCCTTTTTTTCCTCTACCAACTGGAAACTTGGTTCTTCATCTTTGCAGCATTTAAAGGTACAAACAATATGAACTTTTCATAAAACCAGATGCTGGGAGCCACAGGCCTAGAATATATTACAGAGCCACTGAGCCATATTCATTTTGAAAAGATTACACTAATGCTCTTTTCAAACTTAGAACTACCAGCCTTCCAGAAACTCCTTATAATCTTGAGTAACTGAAAGCATAAAGTGGCAGCTGTCAATTCTACCCTCCTGCAAAATCTCCATAGGCCAAATGATCAGGCCACATGGTGAGGAGCTGCTTAACTGAGAAAACACGGGTTCATTCCTTCAGCAGCTACATGGTTCTATGTAAATGGGGAGGCACAAATGTATATACAAGAGAATAAATGCACCTCTCTTGCTGGAGAAGCAGCAGAGGCATTTTTATATGGTGCAAATTCTGTGTGTGGTTGGTGATTCTGAGGCCACACCAGAAAATATGAGTTCTAATGGCAGAAAAGAATTTTTTTTTCCAGACAGGGTTTCACTATGTTGTCCAGGCTAGTCTTAAACTCCTGGCCTTAAGCAATCCTCCCATCTCTGCCTCCCAAAGTGCTGGGATGACAGGTGTGAGCCACTACACCCATCTAGGAAAGAACTTTTTAGAATGAGACAGCAATAGTATTGCAAATGTTGTAAGAGTCAGGGATGCAGTTGAATTTGGTTAACCAAGAGCTTTAGAAAATTTGCAATATGGCTTAAAATGGAAAAAATATTTCACTTCCTATTATTAGCAGCCTTAGTTCCAATTAGCCTGTGACCTCAAGCTTTTATATTTCAGAAAGTTACAGGGTTCAAGAGGATCAGTGGTTCTCCTAGGGGTGTATATTACAATCACTTAGGAAGTTAGAGAAAAAGAAAAAAACAACAGATGCCTAGACCCTGCCAAGAACTATTCATTTTGAATCATGGAAGGTGACACCTGGGCATATAGGTATATTTATTTAAATTTTCTTTTGAGCCAGACCAATCCAGTGTCTCTCAGATTTTAATGTACCTATGAATCATCTGAGACTTTTGTTAAAATGTAGATTCTAACCTAGTAGGTCTGAAATGGGGCCTGAGATGCTTCACTTCTGACAAGCTCTCAGGTGAAGGATGCTGCTGTTCCATGGCTCACACACAGTGAACAGAATTCTCCAGCTCAAATCATTTGGCATTCTATTAAGCATATAGAAGTTCTCATCCACAACTAGAATGTATCACATGCTTAATACTTAAATTGCAAGTGCAATTAGGTGTTGTCTTTGTTTTTTACTTTGAAGATCACGGTGGAGACTTCTATTGTTTTGTGTGATGTGAAAAGAATATCTTTATCCCAAAACGTCTCACATCAAGGATGCAGAAGGTAAGCTATGGCAACTTCAATCTTAGACACTTTTCCTTCTTAATGTAAACGATCCAAAGGCATTTCCAGCAAAATGCAAGTTTCCTAACCTGTTATTCACGCTATTCCTTTTAAATAATTCAATCTCTTCTGATCAGAAGTTCAAACACAGATTTATCTCTATCCTAATCCCTCTTAATCTCCATCTTGGTATGGGCAGTTTTTTCCAATGTTTCTGGATCTAGACAGTATTTGCTATGTTCTTCCCTCACCCTTCCTGAAATCTTAAAGATTTCTCTATCCTCATCTAAGCCAGTTTTCAACATTGGAGAGCTGAGGCTACAGCCCTCCTACAATGTCCTTGAGGCTCTCCTCACCAGCAGGGGATGGAACCACTGTTGAACACTCTTTTATCCAGGTCACATTTTCACATACGCTCTACCAAGATACTCTGAGAAACTAGAGAGAAGTCTGTGGAGGATCCAGATGAACAGCTTTCAGCACTGCTTTGACCTACCCATCTACTAGCATCACCGAAAGAGAATAGTTCTCTTTAGAATGAGAAGTGTTCTGGAATCAAGGAAGCTCCCTAACCCTGAAGATGTTTGGTTTCTTCCTCGTGACTCATAGCAAGACAGAATAGTAGTTAAGAGCACAAGCCTAAGTTTGTGACTTTGAGTACATCATTTAACCTCTCTGAGCCTCAGGTTTAATAATTTAAAAAAATAACAGTTTTTTAAAATTGGGTTCTATGACATAATGCAGGTAAAATACTTTGCAAAGTATCTGACACACAGAGCAGTCAATAAATCTTTATTTATATTATTAAATTATAAAGAAAGAAAAGATAACAATTGGTGGAAAAAACTACTGACTGGGTTTACAGTTACACAGAAAACAGTTGAAGGTTATATACCAAACTTTTACTGAAGTATGAAGAAAATTTTCCATTTTATCCACATAATTTTCAAATCAACCTTTACTACTTGCCTGTATCTTTTGTAAGTTTTTAAAAATAAGCATAAGTTTTAAAAACTTTATGGATACTTTTCACTTCAAAATTTTTATTGACAACCGACAACTCTTATTTGAAAGGAAAATGAGGAGGGCCAACACCCCTAAACCACCTGAGTTAGTGGCCTAAGGCACAATACCGACGGAGCTATATTTAGTCAAAGGGCTGGCCCCTGGCCCTCACAGTGAAAAATGGATTCCATCAAAGGCAGCGAGGCTGCCTGAGCTTGTGCCTCGTCTGGGCAGCATACATGTTTGAAAAAAATAAACTTTTTTTTTTTTTTAATTATTATTGGTCTTTGTCAAAATTTGCCCCACATCTAAGTTACCTCAAGAAAATACCTCCATAACTAGATCACCAGATAAGATGCTCTCCTGCTTCATTGCAAAGAGAAAGGGGGAAAAAAAAAAAACAAAACTGATGCAAACCTATTTACTACTTATTGTGTTTTAAAGACATTTTTGGCCAGGCGCGGTAGCCCCTGCCTATAATCTCAGTGCTTTGAGAGCCAAGGTGAAAGGATGGTTGAGCCCAGAAGTCAAGACCAGCCTGGGCAACACAGCGAGACCACATCTCTAAAAAAACAAACAAAAAAAAATTAGCCCGGCATTGTGGCACGCATCTGTGGTCCCAGCCACTTGGCAGACTGAGGTAGGTGGATTGCTTGAGCCTAGGAGGTTGAGGCTGTAGTGAGCTGTGATCACAGTACTGCACTTCAGCCTGGGCAACAGAACAAAACCTTGTCTCAAAAGTAAATAAATAATAAAAATTTTTAAAAAGACATTTTTGGCCGGGCACAGAGGCTCACACCTATAATCCCAGCAATTTGGGAGGCTGAGGCGGGCAGATCACTTGAGGTCAGGAGTTCGAGATCAGCCTGGCCAACATGGGGAAACCCCGTCTCTACTAAAAATACAAAAATTAGCCAGGCACGGTGGTGCATGCCTGTAATCCCAGCTACTCAGGAGGCTAAGGCACCAGAATTGCTTGAAACCGGAAGGCAAAGGTTGCAGTGAGACGAGATCACGCCACTGCACTCCAGCCTGGGTGACAGAACGAGATTCAGTCTCAATAAAAAAAAAAAAAAAAGAAAGAAATTTAGTGATCCAGGAAAGCAGCCTGAAGCACAGAGCTGAGGGAAGGTTCAGAAGGCAGCTGCCTCAGGCCTTGGGCCTGCCCCACCCCGCCCTGACTAATTTGTACCTTGGCTGCTACACTAGTTCTGAGTCCACTCAGAGCCTGTGCCCCCTACACACCAAGCCATTCCCAGAGTGCAATTCCTTAAGAATTCCTTAAGCAATGCAGAAGAAGGATCTGTACTGTCGTCTATAGAGTCCCACATGTGAGCTTCCACCTCTGCATGGGGGTGACTGCTGTGAACCATACTCGGAAACTGTGAAGTCTCCCCCTCTCCTCTGTGCTATGTGTTTGCTCCTCTAGCTTCTCAACAACTGCCAGGAGCCCCTGGGCCAGAATTCAAGTCTGATTCATCTTGGTGTGCTTGGAGCTTGGCATGGGGCCAGGCACAGAGAGGTGGCTCAATGTATAAGCCAACTAACTGGGAGCCAACTGAAAAGCCACCCTGTTCACCCTTTCCCACACCGTTCAAGTGTGAATTTCTCCCTTTTCTCCCAAGCCAGCTTGCTCCTTCTTCCCTCTACCTCTGCCCTGAAATAGAAATGTCAGACATTTAAGGGCAAGTGAGTCCTTTATGAAGTCTGAGGGTGACTTTTTCTTTAAAGATGCGTAGGAGATAATCAGCAAGATTGAGAATATCACCACCCATCCTGCATAAGCGAGAAGCATTTCTTAAAGGGTGAACTACAAGGAAAGGTGGTTTCTAGGAAAGCAGGTGTACACGCAGTCTTAATACAGGATACTTTGTAAGTATCAGGTATTGAAAAGGCCTTCTGATACATTGAAACACCAGGCTAGGAAGCGAAGGCAGAGAAAGTGACCACGCCTGGCCACTGCTGGAAGAAAATGCCAGAAGGCCATCTTCTCAGAGTCATGGCAGCCTTCACCCCACAATGGGAGATGCGCCACCAGGAGACACCCACCCTTTTGATCCCAAGCTCAGCTTTACTGTACAGTGTGACTGGCATTAGGCAGAGAAACCAACAAAGTGCGTCGCCACTTGGTTGCCCTTTTTACACTACCCCGGGTCCACACCCTGCCGTCCTAGCCAGCCCCAGGGTAGGGTTACACCACTTTCCTTTTTCTTCTTATTTTTAAAAGACGAGGGCGCTACAAATATCTTTCCAGCAAGAGCCCGATCCTGGCACGGGAGCGGGGGGTGGGGGGCGGTGCGGTGGGGGACCTCTCATTTTTCTTCCCCGCGGTTGGCAAATTTTCCCCGTCCTCTTTCCTCAAGGGGCCCCCTCAAGTCTTAGCCCTTGGTGCAGAAAAGGGGATCCCAGGTTACCGCGGCCTCGCCCTGCGAACAAGTTTCCACTGGCTTGGCCGCTTGCAGAATTGCCAGGGCAGGCGCTGAGTGTGGTCAGAGAGCCTCTCTACATCCCGGAATCTTGCACCCCGAGGCCCCTCCGTGCTCTCCCCAGATCGGTGTCCCGGGTAGGGGGACCCCACTTACCCCACAACGGAAATCATCATGGCAGCCACCACCAGGTAGTTGGTCTGGTAATAGAGCAGGTTGCTCACCACGCGGTTGTTCCATTTGGAAATGTCCCTGAAGTCTGGCCGGGCAAAGCGATCGGAACCCGGGAAGAAATCGTCCCAGGCGCGGAGTGGGGCGATATTAACGTCCATGTTCTCAGCTTCGCGTTCTTCGCCTCAGGAATCTGGCGGCGGCGGCAGCGGCAACCGATCAGCTGAGCTGAGTTGAAGAGTTGACAGCGGCTCTGTCTCGATCGGCTTTGCGGTTGGCAGACAGCAGAGCAAAGGAAATTGGGAGTGGGCGGGCGTGTTTGCTCCTCTTTACTTCTTGATTGGCTCTTGGTTGGGTACAGGAAAACAGGGACCTCAAGACAAAACAAGGGACTGAGCGCAGAATAGAGATGAAACGACAGAAAGCAATCAGCGGAAATCCTCTGTCTGAAGCGAGGTGGCAATGCCTTCTCTAGCAGTCCGAATACCAGCTGCCTCCTTTGAAATACCTTTTTTGAAGGTTTACCTGGGAGTGTGTTCTCTGACTTACAGAGAAAAATTTTGGCAGCTGTGCAGATGCCAATCTAAGTGAAATGAAATGGAAGGCAACTATAGTGTTACTGGAGAATGAGCTGCTGTTGAAAACTAAGTCTTACTAACCTCTACACATCTGAATGCAATTCCCATGTTTTCTCTGTTTCACCATGAGTCACTATGTGTGAAATCAGATTGGCAAAACGGGAAAGAAGGTCATGTAGAACAGAAGAACTGGTTTGTTTTTTTCACTTCTCTTCTTTATTCTCCATCTCTGTTCTCTCGAGGCTAAATTGTTGGACTGCTGTGCCATTCTGATAAAGTGATAAAGTAGGCACTCTGGCCACTTCAGTCCTCAGCTGGGCACGTTGCTTACATTTTAAAGCAAACAGTTGTCTGCAGTGAACTAGCTGTTATGCATCTAGCATTTTCTGGGCAGAAATATGCATTCCACTTCAGAAGTTTTCTTAGTTTTATTGCAATATTTGGTGACAACTTTCACTGAGGGACCACAGTATATTCATAGATAAGGTGATGTTTAGTATCCCAGCCCAAAGAACTGGCAAAAGATGTATTCGTTGTTAATTCTCTTCTAAGCTTCCAAAGGGTCATCTTTTTTCAGTTAAGGGGCTGATTGGTATAATGCATGAGAAAAAGTAGTTTAATTGTATAATGTAATAGGTAGAATTCTAAGGTGAAGATTTCTAAGATAACAGAGTCTCTAAGCCCATAAGTGGCGTAGACAAGGTGAATTCACTCTTCTCAGATCACCAATTTTTAAAAACTTGGAAAGTAATGAAATATACTAATGCAAAGTCTAGAAAACATAATTTAATTTTCCTTATTGATTTAGAAGACAGTTGAGCTTACAGTGACTCTAAGAAATTACTACTACTACCGGTGTTTAGGAAAGTTTGGTGATTGCATGGAATTAATGCTGACTAAGATATATCTTATGTGCTGCTTTTTGAATAAAGTTTAAAATGTGAAATATTCCTGAGTGCTCATGTGTTCTTGATTCTGGAAAAATGGGACGGTGTGAAGTCAGAGAAAGCAAAATTAGAGTCCCAGCTCCTTCCTCTCTGGCAGGTGACTTTGGAGAAGTTACTTAATCTCTCCCAGCCTCAGTGGCTTCATGTGGAAAGTGGGGATAATGGAACATTTGCCACATAGGTGAGGATAAGTGAAGGAATGTATAGGAAATGCTTAGTGTATAATAAAGGTTCACAGTTATATGTTACTATTATTGTTATTAGTAATAGGATAGCCCACGATTCATGTCTGCTGTTAATAGTGCTTTAATCTGATTTGTTTTCTATGCTTTCATTATAAACATCTACTGACTTTTCTCTACCTTCCTCCAATTTTATTGTTGTGGTTGTATCCGGGTAGGGGGAAATGGCTGAGAATATTCAGTACAATGCCAACAAATATTTCGAGTTCTTTTGAGGCTCTGTGAAAGCACTGTGGGGTATTTTTTTTTTTTTTAAAGAGGAGAAAGATGTAATCCTGCTCTGCCTTCAAAATTCCTGCAATCCAGTGGAAACACTAGTTAAATATGAGATGGTGAGAGGAGTGCTAAATAGAGATGCACCGAGCCTCAGTTATCAGTTACAGGAAGTCAGAGGGTGTGGAGGAATTCCCCAGGGCTTCAGAATGTCAAGCAGCATCACTGTGTACAAGCTGAGTAAATCATCTTGGTCAAGATGAAAGTGGGAACTCCAGTGAGGCCCCACACCTGTTGGTGAGATTGATGAGTATTAGAAGCTATGACCAAGAACTTTATCTTCCAACTGCTCAGAACTGCATGACCAAAAGCTGTCAAGAGTATATTAGCAACAATATGATTACTCCTTGATCACAGACAATTGATACCCAAGAAATAGTTATTTCTCTAAAGAGGTTTAAACATAAATAAAGAAATTCTAAAAAGACAGAGAAAGATGTTTATAGCATGATTCCCTTCTGCCTCCCTCCCAAAATGTTAACCCTGTGTCTCTCTTTGGGGTGTGAGAGATTTTTTTTTCTCTAAACATTTCTACCTTTGTTAAATTATTTTAAATAAAAATGAACACATAATGAGTCATTATTTTTTCCAGTAACTGTTTGAAATGCTATTAGTAGCAGCTCTTTGTTAGTGTTCATTCCGGGGAGGGAGGGGTCAGATTAACTGTAGAGGTCTTCCTGGAGCTTTAATTTATTAAAGACAGGGTCTTGCTATGTTGCCCAGGCTGGTTTTAAACTCCTGGGCTCAAGCAGTCCTCCCACCTCAGCCTCCCAAGTAGACAGGATTACAGGCATGGGAAGCCGAGTCCCGCTTCGTGGGGCTTTTATAATGGGATGGTGTGTCTAGATAGGATCATTCAGACTGTCTGTTTAAAAACCATGGCAGATAGTCTAATTGTTTATGATCTGTTCCATTTGAAGTACAATAAATCTGTTGAAGGTTTTGCTTGCATGTCTCTGTTGCTTTTATTCCTGGCAAGGGCAGATGGCTATTTCTAATCCGTCAATCAGTCTAAGCCAGTGAGAGCGCCTGGTGTCATTTATCAAAATACCACCATGGTGAGTCAGGGTGTTAGTCTCAAAGCAAGCAGATGCAGGGCCAATGCCTTTGCAGACTTCTTCATCTGCTAGCTGTATTCTATCCCTAGGCCTCAGATTCCTCCCCTGTGAAATGGGTGAGACTAGACTAGGTGGCCTTAAGGTGCCTGCTGTTTTTCGCCATCTGAGACAGTTGTAATGCTCACTACCACTAATCAAAGGGTATCCAGTATTGTTGGGGGTTCAGACTACAAGAGCCCATTTTGATAAGCACTGAGGTTAAATCCTCAGTGAAACCATCTGTGGAGTTGTCTGGCCAAGAAAAAATGGTTTCATAGTTGATGCTGAGACACGTGATGCAGAAGGAGGCTGGTATCTCTTGATATGGACTGTGAACTCTACTCCCACACTCACTGCCTGGCACTGACTTTCAGCTCAATGAATGCTATTGAACTGAACCTAATTGAGGGACCATAAAGGACAAGCTCTCCTTAAGGTTCACTGAAAACTAGGACAAGAGGAGATTAAATATCACAGTGTAGTAATGGCAGCTACATTTACTGAGTACCCATCAGGCTTTATGTACCCCATTTCAGTGGCTCTCAAACTTTACCAGGGAGAATAACCCCAGGCTTTGCAGAAGGCCAGGGACGGGGGTGGGGAGGAGGGTGGTGGTGG